ATATGCCTGGCTGCCAGTGTTAAATTTAGCAGCACATTTGGGAAAGAAGGATTAGGACATGGGGGTGGTCCTCTGTGTTCAGTGAACTTTATTCTAATCCTTCTAGGTCAGGTTTATCAGTCATCAGCACTATTGACATTTGAGCTAGATAGTTTTTTGTTGGTGAGGGGCTGTGCTGTGCATTGGAGAATGTTTAACAGCATCCCTGGCCTCTACCCACTAGATGGTCAGTAGCAGACACACCCGCTCCAGTTGTGAAAACTAAAAATGTCTGCAGATATTGCTACATGTTCCTTGTAAGGAAAAAATCAACCCCCATTTGAGAATTACTGCTCTAGGTAGAAAGGGTTAACAGGAAGTCTGAGCCCTTTTTTTCCATAGCAGATGACCTTGGGTTTTCCTTCTCCTGGCATTCTTTTCCTGGAAATTTACTGGATTAAGATTAAATATAGACTGCCTCTAGGTAATATTGTTTATTATTAAATTGACCCCTGATTGGTAAGTACATATGGACCAGGAGAACTGTCCATGAAGAACTATATAAGCCTGTGAAGAGACACAGACCTTGATTTCCTGTTGTGCAGTGTAACTCTTATAGATAAGAATGAACATGTCCCTTGAGGGGCCCTGGAACTTACCCTCATTGGCTGTTACAAGGTACCTACTAGTTCCTGTGGAGAATGAAGTATCCCCAAGCCAGAGTGATTTCTGCACTTACCCCTCCCACATAGTCTCCCTTACAATGAGCTGTCACATAAGGTTCCAAAAAAGTCCCCTGGTGATCTGATCTCCATGAAGGTGGCATGCCTGATGCCAGTATGCCAGCATGCTGTCTTTGTCTTTCTACAGAACTGAGTGAACCTGGTGCCCAGCTATGGTCTGTTGGGTCCTATGGGTGAATATTAGTTTGTACCTGAGACCACTGCTGGTGGGCGAGTAAAGGAGAGAATCTGGGAACTAACTGCTTTCTTAAATATGTTTTCAATCAGTCCTCCTGCTTTTACTCCCACCATTACTTCTGCTGCTGCTGCTTCTGGGAACTTTTGAGGTTACATGATGTAGATTGAGTGCTCCTCTGCTTTTCTTCAATGCTGGCCCAGCATTCAGCTTTTCATGGATATGCTAAATTTGGTTACCACTTAGCCATAAGCTTTCTAGCTTCCAAAATTTTGTCATTGTCCACTTGTGAGTTTGTCATTTGAAAAATACTAATTTCTTTATTTTTGTTTTAATGGGATTTGGAGAAGGAGTGGAGCTACCTCATTAGCCATTCCTTCTCAGTCTCCTTTTCATGTCTACAACCTCTTCTGAATCTTGGAGTG